AAAAGCCTAATTCACTATGAGCACAATTCAAAGTACAACGGTTGGAGTCACTTTTACACAATAGACTCGACCTTTCTATCTTTCTATTGAAACCTATCTATTGCACTACTCCTATGTGCACTAGAACAGTATAAGGTTCTATACTTTTCCCTAATACACCGAGTCCCCAATACAATGTGAGGAATTTGAGCAAATACCAATTTTGGTCCCACGAATATTAACAAAACGATAGTTTTGGTCCACATGTTTAATTCCTACCAATTTTCGTTAGTACCAATTTTCATCCACAACTATTGTTTTAGTGTCAAAATTCATCACTCCGGTCATCCTTCCATTTAATACATGCCAAAATCTAAAATTTTTAAGGGTATTTTCGTCATTTTTTACTTAAGATTTCAATTTGAGCATGACTAAAGAGATTTAAGTCCTAAGATTGATCCCAATTCGCAATTCTCCTCCTCATCCTACCTTAATTTGAGGAGAAGAACTGTGAATTGGGATCGATCTTAGGACTTAAATTCCTTTATTCATGCTCAAATTGGGATCATAATTTGAAAAAGACGAAAATACCCTTCAGAATTTCATATTTCAGCATGTCATAAACGAAAGTGGTGTTCGGCGTGATGAATTTTTGCACCTAACCAATAGCCGTGGATGAAAATTGGTAGGAATTAAACATGTGGACCAAAACTGTCATTTTACTAATACTCGTGAGACCAAAATTGGTATTTGGTTTGAGGAATTGTGTGCGTGGTGCTCTTCCTATGCTTTGGGGAAAGGATGCTAAGTCTTGATCCTTGGAGTATTGGGAGCATGAGACTCACTTTGTTTGGGATTCATTCTTCTTTCCTTTGAATTTTTGTATTCTTTGTGTCCAGACGGCGCTTGTGATAACGTTTTTGCCAATAATTTTTAGACAACAATATATTTTGGGCCTAATGGATTTAATTAACCCGGGGTGGACCCGAATCAATAAATCCGGATAAGAACGTAATATAAATAATAAATAAATAACAAGAAGCGATGTCGTAAAGGCCGTGAGACCGTATATTATATTAAATGCTGTAGAATTGGCTATTACAATAGTATTTGAGGACAAAGTGTGTAGAATAAATGTAGAATGTAGATAGAATGCATTTTGTTAGGACAAGGAGGGGGGTTTTTATACAAGCTAAACCCCCCAACCGCCTCCCCCTAAATCGGGGGGTGGTTAGATCACTACTTTGACCGGGCCCGGGTGAACCGGGTCGGGTTGGGTCCCGAGCTCGGGTAGGGTCGTGCCATCCGACCCGAGCCCCACGTGGCTCGGGTCGGGTCGGTGCACCTCCGTGGCGCTCCGGGTCCGTGTTGCTCTTGGGCTCCAATGTGGTGCCCCAGGTCCGCGTTGCTCCTGGGCTCCACTGTGGTGCTCCGGGTCCGCGTTGCTACCCCGGATTGGGTCGTGGGTATAATATATCCATCAGGGCCAACAAATACAAATGACAAATTCTTAAGTTCTATTTCCTTGCAGTATCATCAAAACGGTGGTCGAGAAGGAAGCCGAGGGAAATCTCACTTCAAACCCATTGTGCACTGCTTGTGAGATGGCTGTTATTTGGTTGCAGAACCAGCTAAAACAGAAGGGAATAAAGGAGAAAGTTTTCGAATATGTGGATCAGGTGAATATATATGTATGAAATTTTCTGCCACCAAGAGCAGCAGCACATGTAAAAATCTAATGTTTCGAGTTTGACAGCTCTGTGAGAAACTACCGAGCCCGATGGGGGAATCTGTGATTGATTGCAATAGCATTTCGAGCATGCCTAATGTCACATTCGTCATTGGAGATAAAGACTTTGTCCTCACCCCGGAACAGGTATGCATGCATGTTTTTTTTTAACCTAATTCGTTCGTTTAATTTTGCATTCTCGAACGCTTCACACGCAAGCTCCAATTCATGGAGAAACAACAATTACTATGCCTCAGTTAGGATATCAGTAGTCTTGGATGTGATATCAGCAAGCAGAGGCTATGGGCCATTGCATAAAAGGCATCTCTATATCATGGCTATGTATTTGGCAGAATAAAAAAGGCATTACTAAGAAAATAAAGTAAATGCATCATTTCAAATAAATATCATTAGCTATTACCCTATCAAACTTATAAATTGTTAGGATCAAGCGCTTACTATTATGCCAAAAGGTATAGCGCACCTGCTAGCCCCTTCAAGCCTCCGCCCAATAGGCTCTGATACTACTTGTTAGATCAAGTGTTTACTATTACGCTTAAAGCTATAGCTAGTAACGAAGATGTAACTTTATTTCTTTATACAACCACATTTTCGAGAAGCAGGATGTTGGACTTAGCCTTTCAGACCTTCGCCCAATGATAATCCCCTAGGCACATGGTGCTGGACTTGGTCCTTCACTGGCCTCCGCCCAACAATCCCGACTTGGCCTTTCAGGCCTCCGCCCAATAATGCCCTAGCCACCTGGTGCCTGCTCAACAATCCCCTAGCCGCTTGGTGTTGGACTTAGGCCCTGTTTGGTAAAATAATTAGCCTATCAACCAATTTTGGCTTATTTGACCACTATTAGCTGTTTGACTTGGTTAAACAATCAATATGAATGTTTGATTAATTAGCTTTTTTAATAACTTATTGCTCTAAAATGTTAAAATTCAAAAAACTGCTCAAAATAGCTTTTTCGATAACCTTTGTGAGAAAGTCATTTTGCATGTAATCAGCTAACAGTTAATTTACCAAACACTTTTTTACAATTAGCTAATGTTATACTAGTCAAATCCACTAACTCAATCAGCTACCAGCCATTTACCAAACACCCCCTTAGCCTTTCACGGGCCTCCGCCCAACATAAATCCAAAATGATAATAAATCGAGAAATATGCTGCTGGTTTACTCTATTCCTCGGTCTCCCCGCATCAAATCTGTGACTTAGAATATTTCCTCGTGTATGCAGTATATTCTCAAGACTGGAGAAGGGAAAGCTGCGGTCTGTGTTAGCGGTTTTCTTGCTTTGGATGTGCCGCCTCCTCAAGGCCCTCTCTGGTAAGCTTTCTTTGCTTTTACCAACAGAAAAGCTTATGATGTGGAACACTGGGGAAGAAGCATAATGTATACACACAATTATAGTGTATCAATATATAAATTTTGGCATTCTGTGGTTGCAGGATTCTTGGAGATGCGTTCATGGGGGCATATCACACCGTATTTGACTATGGTAATCTCCAGGTGGGCTTTGCTGAAGCAGCATGATACCTTTTTATATGTATCTGCTTTCTGTAGTTTATCTGTTGTTTATAATGTATTAAGACACGAGTCTACAAGACTTGGGGATGTATTGCACTGTGAATGTGAACTTAATTAAGGTTGTGTTACATAGCCCTCTATGTAATGCATTTTCTATATTATATCTCTGCATATTTAGGTTGAATTTGGTCTAAATCGCTAATGTGGACCATGGTCCAAAAATGACGTTTTTTTAAAATAAAGAAACGGTAGCTTAACTACTCTTGTATTTATAATGTGCTTATAACAAAATAAAATTACAGTGTATTTAAAATGAAACTGAATAACATGTTTCACATATTGAGTGTATTATCAAATGAAAATGTAATTGAATTATAATGATATTTTAGTTGTGCTGTAATGAAATTATAGTGTATCTAAAATGAAATTGAATAACTGGTCTCATATATTTAGTGTATATTTTTAAATGAAACTGTAATTGAATTTAAATGATACTTTAGTTGTGCTGTAACGTAATTGCCGTATGTATAAAATGAAATTCACTAACAAATTTCATATATTGAGTGTATGTTGTCAAATGGAATTGTAGTTATATTAAAATGATATTTTAGTTGTGCTATAATAAAATTAGTATCTATAAAATGAAACTGAATAACAATTTCACATATTTGAATGTATATTTTCTAAATGAAATCGTAGCTAAATTAGAATTATACTTTAGTGGTGTTGTAATAAAACTACATTGTATATAAAATGAAATTTAATAATAGGTCTCACGTATTGACTGTATAAATGAAAATCTAATTGAATCAAAATGATATTTTAGTTATGCTGTAATAAAACTACAATGTATATAAAATGTAACGGAGTACTTTATAAAAAAGAATTAGTTGGACGAAATGACCACACGGGTGCTGTTTCTTTTCATTAAAAGAAACGGCACCATTTTGAATCATAATCCATAGTGATGGACTTATTCTATCCTCTCCATCAAGCGCGTGGAGTGATTAAAAGCTTGAGACAAATATGACCAAATATAAAGAAATGACAAGATAAAAAATGCAGATGATAAAAACAGTGACAAAATAAAACTATTACATGACAATAAAATAGTATAGCTAAGACAATAATGAAGTAACCTATATTTATTCTAAAAACTGAGAAATTTATGGTTCAAGTTCGACTATCCTCTATATAAGGACGGTTTTTCATGAATCATGATGTGTGTTTAAGTGTACATGATTGAAATTACATGCAAATTGATTTATCATCGGTACTCGGTATGTACGAACTTAGATTTAGATTTTATGAAGTGTTTGATAAGGAGAATTCTGTAGTTTAGATGGATGGAATTATTTGTTCATGACATCGTAATTCCTCCATTTTAAAGAATAATAACTCTCAAAAAACTCCCGAGAATTTACAATTCCATGGAACGTGAAAAGAAAAGTTAGATTGTGATTACTAAATTGCCTTTCTTCATTTTAATTAATACTCTGTAATTATTATTATAACAATACATTATTATTATTATCATCATTATTATTATTATTAAGCAATTTATATAATTTATTATTTATTATTTATTATATTATTCAGCTCGAAAAGCATTTTTCCGTGAATTAAAATGGAAAACATTAGAAATGCAGTTTTGTAAGTACAATAATTTCATATTTTGAGTACAACTACAAACATTTTCACTCACTTTCAAAAAAAAAAAAAAAAAAAAAAAAAAAACAAACATTTTCACTCGATTGAAATGGTTAACATATCTACTAGAGTCACTCAAACTAGATTGATATGGTCGGATTACAAATGACAGTGCCTTGCCACTCCATGGTACAGCAAAATTCATTGACTGCTAAATTTCATGCTTCACTTTCATGGAGGCACAACCAACATCCCCCTATTCCTCATCACTTTCATTGCTGAAGGCTGATGCAACAGTTACTTTCGGTTTCTTCGCTGTGCTGCCAAATATGTTCTGCTTCAAATCAAAAGCAAAAGATTATGGAATCAGGGATTTTTAATCAATGAATCATCAAAAACGGAGGGACTAATTTCTCCAATCATTCTTTGAAATACTCATAAAATAAGAGGGAATATATGGGTTTATAAGGACATGGGTTAGATTAGCTAATTGATTGGATTCAGTCATGTGGTTTGACCCATGTGCATTATAGCCTAGTTGAGTGATCTTGGCCTAATCTTAGATTATAAGATAGTATCAGAACATGTTGGGTCTACTTTGTGTTCATCCGGTTGTCTACCTTTCAGCGGGAGGGTCCAATCCAATTTCAAAAGTTAGTTTGACCCATGTGCATTATAGCCCAGTTGAGTGGCATTGACCCAATCTTAGATTATAACACTTCACAAGCCAAAATTTATTACTTGTAACACTTGTTCGGTTGTTCCTCTCCCACACCTCTTCACTGTCACTACTTCCCTTTATCATGTTTACGTGTTTTCTACTTATCCCAGAGGAAGATTTTTACTATAACTCCATCCAAGAGAGAATATAAGTAAACTCAAAAGGAAATAGTAAAACAATAACTTGATTCCAAATACTGAATTCCAGAAACTAAATACCTTTGATTGCCCGCCTTTTGCTGAAAATCCAAACTTCAATGTCTTCCTCTGATCTTGATCAGCAAGTGCGGTTGCAGTTCTCACCACAGGGGAGGCCTGAACGGTTCCAGACTCTTCTTGCTTCTGCTGCACCTGCTGCTTCTTATGGGCGTCAGCACTAGTTAAAGACACACAGAAATGAGCATCACTGGACAAATAACTAAAGGTACTTACTATCCAAAAAGGTTATGAGAGAAATTTTAAAACCACTGCAAATTTATTTAAAAATAGAAGTGGGAAAGTGAGTACATTTGTGCAAACTTTGCCATCTCTCTCTCCTGACGTTGTTGCTCTCTTTTTTGTCTATCATCACGACTGCTACTTCCATGCATTTCTCTCATTTCCTTGAAGCGCTGTATATAAAACGTGAATTATATTTAGGTTTTAGACAGGAGGAAGGCACACAAGAAGCTGATCGAGTAAACCAGATCTGCATGATTCATGAATAAGATGAAAAAACTACCTTTCTGTGGTTATGATCATATGAGCTTAGGTGAGCTTCAAATTCCATTGCCAATTTATATTGCTTGTTGCATAGGTCACAAAAGAAAACCTTCCGTATTTCCTTCACCTCAGTTTGAATTTTCTGCTCTCGTTCAGCTAAAACCTGGATTTTCATAATGTGCACGAAGCAGGCAGTAGAAGCCACCAGGTAATAAAAACTGCACGAAATTCTCAAGACCTCCCAAACTTGTTGTTCGATATTGATATACCATTCCCGTCAAAAGACACACATATATGCTATGTGCTGCCTTCTGTTATTAGATGTATGTTTCAGAAAAAGTAAAGTATCAAACTCAGATTTTCTACCATGCAACATAGTTACCCTTAAAGATGTAAAGCCATACCTCCCGTTTCTTTGCAAGTTCTTCAGTCTCCTCAAACTCAATATCAAGCTTTTTTCGCTGGATGTTTTCTTCTGATGTAAAATAATCATCTTCCTCTTGCTTTCCAAGCCCTAATTTTGCATCTCGTATCCCGGACTTTATTGGCTCGATGATGCCTTGAAACAAACAGATTGTAAAGAATTAAGAAAGAGACAAAAGCAATTACCAAATATGGTTCTCCTCATCCATAAGAGTTAGATGCAAAGTGGACAAGAAATCAAGAAAATCATGCACAAATGGCATTTTGAAATTTGAAACTAATGCTAAGTTGTAAACAAATATTATCCTCTGGTATAAGTTTGTTCAACTATTAGGTTGTTAACAATAGCATCCAAATACAGAGCTTTGAGTTTTAACATTGTTGGCAAAACTTCCTTTTCTAGACATTTGGCCCAGGTCTAATCTCATGCCCCCTGATATACCAAAATGAGACCACACACACACACACACACACACACACACACACACACACACACACACACACAAAACACAAAACAAAACAAAAAACAAAAAACAAAACAAAACAAACAAAAAAAAAAAAACAAAAACAAAAACAAAAAAAAAAAAAAAAGCAAAAAAGGATCAATGCACACAAGTTTTGTGTGCAATTTAGTAGGAATTATAGTGGGCAATGGAATTTCTGCATCTCACTCCAAAATCTCAAGTTGGAACCATATTTCAGTGCATGGTTAGCCTTCCAGAATTGATAGACTTCAGTGCAAACAGTTAATTCTTGCAGAAACAAAGTCAGGTTGGGAGGGAGTATGCATTTGTGAGTTCTTGTATGCAGTGTTTTCATGTACTAAAAACACTCAACAGAAAATGAAAATAAGAAATACTCAAAAACAGATCAGGCCAAGCCATCTAATAAAGGAAACACTTGAATAGTGCACAGAAGGTACACCAAGATAAAGGAGGGAATCAAATATGTGCATAAACATATCAATGCTTTCCAGATCATCCTGTGAACAATTATACCTTGCTCATTTTTTCCAAGGCCCTTTCCTTTCCACCCCATTTTCTGGAGAAGCCTGAATCCGACATTGGATGATGTTAACTGTTTGTCTAATGATGCTTGCTCAACATTTTCTAGATCGACATTTTCTGTTGGTCTGTGACCAATTGGTAGGCGAAAGTCCTCTGTGAGATCCTCAAGGATAGAAGCCTCATCTGCCTATGAGAAGACAAGTAAAGTTTGATGTCATGAAAAAAAATGGCAATATTTGAGGAAATTGCCAAAGAGTAATGCAATGTAAAGTCAAAACTAGAACAGATCTCTGTATAGGCAACGTAAACATACACAGATCACTGCAAAGGTTTAATATATGAGGTTGCCTAACCATAATATATCTGTTGAGTTCAAGCATGACACATTTTAGAGTGCAGACAGTATCACCAGCACCAAAAACATACAGGCAATAATTCTATACTCCGTATTTATCTAGTATTTTGTTAAGTACAGAAAAACAAACAGAAATACAGTGTTATCTCTCAAAATAAGAAGCCAAATAAATAAAAAAAACGTTTGAGAAACCAAGAGAAGTGTGTACACATACCTCATTGTCATGCTGCTGGTTGTCAGGATTCATCCCTAGTTGACCATTAAACCATCTATTTTCCATTTGCTTATTGACCTAAAAAACACCTAAACTAGTAACCAACAGCAAAACAAACAATTAAGGAACCTGCAGATAGAAGGAATGAAAAAGGAAGTAAAGCAAAGCCCAGATCAAAATTTAATTTTCTCCAAACATTTTTCTTTGAACAGTCAAATACACAAGCATCAAGCCAAATCTCTTTTATCATTTCGCAGTGATTTTTTTTTTTTTTTTTTTTTTGTGAAATTCCATAAATCTTCACTTAATTTCTGAATGTCCACCTAGGTGCAGGTTACTATATCAAATCCAGGTATAAATTAGACAAATTAGACAATATCGAAGCAGTTGACATGTATTCGGTGGATTCTGTAGAATCCAAATATACATCGAGACACAGAAGTTACAATGAACAACGCTATTTCGAGCAAACTAACTGTTGAAAATCCGATTCCAATTAGGGTTTCTGTTTAAACAATTACGGATTGATTTTTGTTTTTAAAGCCAACAACAAAAGAGAATGTTTAAATAAAAAAATATATGCTAATTATAAGCAAAGAAATGGCGATGAAATTACCAGGATGAAGAAAGTATGGAGCTTTGAGGAAAATTAGCAGGCAACAATAGTCTCCGAAGCTCGAAGCCACAGCGTTGGTCTGATTCAAGAATACGGAGGTTATGATAATATTACCTGGGTGTACAAAAGTTTATTTCACCTAAAAGTAGTGGGTTTGGACTTTGGAAGCAATTTTGGTTCGGGTCAAATTTTTCTGGGCTCAAGAGCTGAATTTGCACCCATCATTTTCCTTTTTGGAAATATTCCGTAGTTTGTTTCTTTCCTTAAAATTTTGAGTTTAATTTGGCCTCACATTCACCTTTGCTTCAATCGTTATACCGTGGTGGTGGCAAAGATTTGGAGGGCCAAATTTAGTATTCTATCATTGAAATGTGATATTGATTGCTATGTAAGTATGTATAAAAAAAATAAAGGAGTTAATACCCAAAATCGTCCTTGACTATAGTGGTTTTTCTCAATTTCGTCCTAAACGACTTTGGTGACCTAATATCGTCCCAGACTTTTGTGTTTCGCTCAATTTAGTCCCAGATTTTTGTGTTTTTGCTCAATTTAGTCCCTCATTTGTTATTCTGTCCATTTGGTGTTAAATAAATAAACAATTCAGTAATTTTAATATTGGCATCTCTTTACTCATAGACATGTGAACTGCGAAATCCCTTTTTGTTTTACGAATTACTCCAGAATTACTCCTAAAACTGCGAATATAAAATTTGATTTGCAGGTCCGGGAGTAAATCTGGGTCTAATTCGTACAAGAAAGAGGAATTTCGCACTTCACAAGTTGAAAGTAAAGAGAGATCAATATTGACATTACTGAATTGTCCCTTAATTTAACACCAATTTGACGGAATAACAAATGGAGGACTAAATTGAGCGAAACACAAAAGTCTGGGACGATATTAGGTCACCAAAGTTGTTTAGGACGAAATTGAGAAAAACCACTATAGTCGAGGACGATTTTGGGTATTAACTCAAAAATAAAGTTACATTGTTGCTACTAGCTATACCTTTTAGTCTAGTGGTAAGCGTTTGATTTTGACAATTGGTATCAGAGTAGTAGTTCGCATGATCAAATGATAGATCTCGTTACTTTCACAATTTTGTTATTCACTTGTAGTGGATTTTTATAGCATTTTTTAAAAAATGTCAAACTTGAGTTCAATTCCAAAGTATTCACAAGCAGAATTTGATAAAAATGTAGATTCACTTAACTGTACGACACAATCAAATGTGATTTGTAATACTGCATGCACCCTTTAGAACTTGCAAGGTGAACATTACTCCACTATTACTAACAGATCTAGATGTTTCTCACCTTGATTACTTAGATAAACTTATAAAGAAATGGACGAAGGAGGATCACATTTTGAACAACTTTGACAACCAAGCCTAGCTTAGACCATATATAATGCAAACATTGAGCAAGTTAACTTATGGAAAAGTCAAAAAGTACACCAATTCAACAAAGGAGTTGTTAGACACATTTTTTTAAGAACTCTTGACTTCAAGATATGTTTAGAAAGGTTACAAAGCTTCTATTAGAGACAATTTGGTACTTTTCACCTTAAAGACATTAGGTGAAGTCCAAAGATCAATAACATGTTGCGAAAAAAAGACGAAATGGCAAATTTTGAATGTCTACCATCTTAAATGCCACAAACGAAGAAATTAGAAAAAGAGAATGTTGATGAGTTGCTAAGTGAAAGTTATAGCTTATGAGCTAAAGTCATTCTAAGCAATCTAAACTTCAAAGAATCATCTAGATTATGTCTAGTAAGCATTGCAGGTGAACAAATATTTCTCTCTTTCTCTCTTTCTCATATCCTTTCATCAAGGGGGCAAACATTCTAAACATAATTAAAATTTGGTTTACATTGGCTGTAGAGTGTCAACTCAATCTTTCCTTCACGGGCTAACCTCATGACTTTGTCTTTGAAAATAAAACATTTCTCAATTGGATGTCCCAATAAACGATGATACTTGCAATAATTGAGGCTATTTACCACCATTGCCTCATTAGGTCGTTTCATTTCTGGCAATTCAATAAGCTTCAACTTCAACAACTCTTCAAACATTAGTGAAACATCTGAATCCAAGAATGGATGTGTCTTCTCCTTCATATCTTCTAGAGTGAAAAACTTCTTTTTTTTTTCCTTGTTTGCCTAAAGGTTCCAGAAGGCATTTCTACAACTCTCTTCTCGGTAGAATTTCCTTGAACCCTCACCGGCACTGTTACATTATAGATTCTTTAATTTCTGACTTAGAAAAGGGTTTGCCCCCTTTCTTGATTTCTTGTCTTTCATTTTCCTTTTAGGAATTTTGAAAATGACTTCCAGTAACGGGTTATTTCATCCTGTTGATGTCAAATGTCCTCCGTTTGCAACTATGCCTAATTGTATATCATGAGCACGAAAAGTCAATTCTTCAAATGTCTTGGGTTGAATACCCTAAAGGATATAACATAATTCCCAACACATGCCTTGGATACATATATTAATGGCATAACTTTCACTTATCTTATCTTTGCAGTTGATAGCTAATAAGTTTTTCCACCGCTCGATATAGGCGAGCACATGTTCATTTTTCCACTGACGAGTGTTTGTTAACTCCATCGAGCTAACTTCTATTCTAATGTTGTAGAAGCGGTTTAAAAACTCGCATTTCCTTTGTTCCTAACTATCAATGGAACCTAGATTAAAATCCGTGTACCAATCAAATGTGTTTCCTTTTAAGAAAGGGAAAAATTGTTTCACCAATAGGTCCCCATAAGTTTTTACATCATTGCATGTTTAAACGAAGTTTACCACGTGCTGCTTTGGGCTTCATTTCCTATCAAATTGTTTAAAGCGAGGTGGTTGATAACCTATGGGCATCTTCAAGTTCTCAATTCTTTGAGAGTAGGGCTTCGCATAAGTATAAAAAGAACTTCCCTCATCAAACCTCCCCTTCACTATTTCGACAATGAAATCCCTCATCTGATCAATTGGGATCGTACCATTAGAGACTTGTATATTTGTTCTAGGGATCTGTGTCAGTGAAACAACTTCTTCGTGTTCTTCATGTTGCTTTGCTAGGGCATAGCTTGTCTCTCCCTCAAGTGCATTTCCAAACTTGTTATGCATTTCAACTATCTTTTTCTCTTGGTTAAGCACAAGGGTTGTCAAATCCCATAAAGTTTTCATTAGGTTTGCCAACTGTTCCTCTATCGGACAAGCATTTGTTGTCATTGTGGTCATTACAGTGTAACCATGAGGCCAATTTGGAATAGCCTTCTCCATAGAAGGTGAAATGAATTCAGAATAAAAATCTTCAACTTCATCACTAGTCAATTTATCTTGAGCAGGAATGGTCTCATCAGCCTTGACGAAATCATGTAACACCTGGTGAAAAATATTCATAGCATCAATAGTTCTTCCACGAGTTTGTGAACTTGGGTTGTCCCTTAAAAGAGTTTGAAGAGTTTGGGTTCTCATGTCCCTAACTTTACTCCTTGCCAGTGGACTTGGAGCAGCTTGGCGAGAATATTGCCAACAACCAATGTGGACTTGGAGCCAACAATTTTAACTTGCTTAACTTGTTTATTTGGAGCCATTTTGGAGCCATTTGAACAAACTCAGTTGCAACTGACTTAGCAAAGAGATGAGAGGCAAAGCGGTCCCACTAGGCGTGCCAATTTGTTAACATAGAAAAATTCCATTGTATTGTATTAGCATTGAAAATCCGGTATAAGGAAAATAATGTGTAATTGTATAATGTGGGTACATGAAGAAATCCTCCAATTCTTTGCTTGATTTAAAGTAGACTTAACCATTTGCTTGAAATTCACTTGAAGATCAAACACTTCGCCACAAACAAATTTGGCTCGATTGCAACGAACTTAGTACTTGAAATGCTTGGGTTTTGAACACTGTACTCGAGCTTGAAATACCCGAGATTTGATACTTGAAATGCTTGAATCGAAATACTTAGACTCGAAATACTTGAACCAAGTATTTAGACTCAAAATAGTTGAAATACTTTAATCGAGTACTTAGACTCAAAGTACGTGAAATACTTGAATCGAGTGCTTAGACTCAAAATACTTGAAATACTTAAATCGAGTACTTAGACTCACAATATTTGAAATACTTGAATCGAGTGCTTAGATTCAAAATACTTGAAATACTTGAATCGAGTACTTAGACTCAAAATACTTGAAACTTGATCCTTGAAATCCTTGAATTGAGTACTTAGGCTCGAAATACCTGAAACTTGATACTTGAATGCCTTAAAGCTTGAATACTTCAATCACTTCTTCTCTGTTGCCCCTTTCACTTGAAATGAGACCTCTATTTATAGCATGGGAAACACTCTTCACACCACACATTTGAAATTTGAATTCAAACATTTTCAAACTTTTAAATTCAAAGTATTTGAATTTTATAACTTAACCAAATTATCTAAATATTTAAATATATTTAATTTGATTTTTATAAAATCAATTGAATCATGGGCCAAACATATGATATATGGGCTATTCCAAGAATAATGTAATTGACATGCCTAATAACCTTTTGTAAGTCATTAGCCCAATCATTCAAGGCCCGACTAATTTTAATGCAATCATTATGCTGTGGAATCGTGTCCACCTTGCAAGGAGGACATGGTTCTATGTTCATAATTACTGAACTATATGTTCATAATTATAAAGCTATACATTCATAATTTTTAAACTTCATATTCATAATTGTTGAACTCTATATTCACAATTACAGAACTCTATGTTCATAATTACTGAACTATATGTTCATAATTATAAAGCTATATATTCATAATTTTGAATTTCATATTCACAATTATTGAATCTCTATATTCATAATTACAGAAGTATATGTTCATAATTATGTTCACAACTCTATGTTCATAATTATAGAACTATATGTTCATAATTTTTGAACTATATAATATATATTCATAATAATTATGAACAGTTTTGGAACTGTGTCCACCTTGCATGGTGGACACAGTTCCGCAACATAATTTGCCATTTTAATGGGCTGCAAATTTCAATGATCACAATGTAATATTTAAGTATTCTGATTTCTATAATAAGTAACAAGCAACTATTCT